GCCCAGCGAGAAGTGAGACTTTTAAGATGTGATTAGATGTAAAAATGTGGATGTGTAACTGACGTGATTCTGCAATCTGCATTTGGGGTAAAATTGGGAGTTCATAACCCACTTCAATCTAATGTATGAAATATGATATGTCAAGAGCTTTGTAATGTTGTGAACAACCAATAAAAAAAAGAAAGAAGAAATAAATAAATAAATAAATAAATAAAACGATGTACTTCAACGTAAAAAAAAAAAAAAAAGATGTGATTAGCCCAGGAGGGCTCTGAATGGATTAATGAGTTTGGGGAATGAGTTTGTTATAAAAGTGAAGGTCACATAGCAAGTTGGCTGTTAGGAAAGGCCAAGATTTTACCAACTAATGTAACAGGGCCACCTTACTTTGTTTACCTTTGAGATTCACCCCTTTGAGCTACATATACACAGATTACACTTAGGATACTAGCAAACCAAGGAGAAAACTTTCCATTTTAAGTGATACCATTATTATTTCATGTTAAAATTAACAATGATAAATAAATATATTCAAATTACTTTCTCCTCCATAATATGTACACTTCATAAATACAGGCCTAAGAGAAGTCTCCAAAACAAAACCCAGAAGGGAATCTTGCAAATACTTGTGCTGATAACCCTCCAACCAGGCTCCTATTGATACAGGGCATTGCCATAGGTTCTCAGGGGTAAAGGACTACTCAGAGGGAGCCAGGAGGGGATTGAATCCAAGGATACTTTACCACTGAGCTGCATCCCCATTCCTATTTATTTTTTTAAGACAGGGTCTTACTAAGTTGCTGAGGATGGCCTTGAACTTGCCATCCTCCTGCTCAGCCAGCTGAGTTAGTGGGATTACAGGAGTGCACCACCATGCCTGATACTTACTCAGCAGCTTCGGAACCCACTGGGTGTGTTGTCAGAGCCCTTCCTTTGAAAAGTGATCTCTTAGGAACTACCTACAGAGACTGCCTCTTTACCTTTCCATCTCTGATGCAACTTGGAGAATACATCTCCTCTAAGCTTTTCTTTTATTAACATTTAAGCAGAATGTTTTAATGACTCTAGCCCTGCTAGGAGTAATTAGCTTCATTTATGTTTTAAGATGTTCTCTTGTTTGGTTATTTTTGTTTTTGTAATGGGGATTGAACCCAGGGTGCTTTACCACTTAGCTTCATCCCCTATCCTTTTAATTTTTTTAATTTCAAGACAATATCTCACAAAGTCACAGAAGCTGGCCTTAAACTTGTGATCCTCGGTCTCAGAGTTCCTCGGATTAAAGATGTGCACCACTGTGCTCAGTCATTCTTTAAGGTATTTCCTCTTCTCGCCATTGATTTCTGACTAGGAACAAACTTCTCTGCAGCATTTGACATCAGCATCAACAGTTATTTTCTGGCCAGGCTTGGTGGTGCATGCCTGTAATCCCAGTGGCTCGGGAGACTGAGGCAGGAGGACACAAGTTCAAAGCCAGCCTCAGCAACTTATCAAGATTCTAAGCAACTGAGACCTGTTTCTAAATAAAATATAAAAAGGGCTGGGGATGTGGCTCAGTGGTTAAGTAACCCTGGGTTCAATCCCTGGTGCAAAAAAAAAAAAAAAAAAAAGTCATTTTCAGCAGGATGATGGATGGCAGTGCCTAAGAACCAGCAGCTAGAACTTGGGACATGACTTCATCTAGGAAACTCAGATGACCACTGACATTGGGTATCTGGATATTAACTTGTTCTTGGCAGTCTGGGCATCTGCATTGGAAAGGTTAGGTAATTGTTTTTACTTGGTTATAGGCAGCTTGATAACAACTCCACAGCTGCAGCTTGAGAATGAGTGTAAATCCCAGAGTTCAGAATCTGAGTTACTGGTATAAAAGAAGAAACATTAACTAGCTGATTTCCTTTGGCAATAGCCTGGAACAGAAGGCTGGTGGCATTGCTGTGGCTCTTGACATGAGGTCCGGCATTTACTTCAGCGCTTCATGTGGCAATACTTTTTGCTACAACAGCAGTAGGAACAATTCTGTCTCCATTCTGTTTTTTGAATTCCACCTCCAGAGTATTTGGACTTAATACCAAATACCCTTTACAGTTTAGATGTGAGATGTCCCCAAAAAACTCATGTGTGAGACCATGTAAGAGCGTTTAGAGGTAAAATAATCGGGTTATGAGAGCCTTAAACTGATCAGTGCATTAAGCTGCTAATAAGGATTAACTGGGTGGAAGCCATAGGCAGGTAGGGTGTGACTGGAGGAGATGGGTCACTGGGGCTGTCTTTGGGGTATATATTTTGTTCATGGTGAGGGGAGTCTGCTTACTAGTGCCAGGTCCTCAGTTCCTTTTCTCTGCCACATACTTCTACCATGATGTTCTGCCTCATCTCAGGCTCCAAGGGAATGGAGTTGGCCATCTATGGACTAACAACTCTGAAATCATGAGCCCCTAAATAAACTTTTCCTCTTCTATTGCCCATGTTAGGTCTTTTTGGTCATGGCAGAAAAAATATATATATCTGTATCTTTATCTCATAGGGTGGCCAGCACCTCTCCAGGGAATTCTTGCCTGCTCAGAGGTATCAGCCTCCTAAGAAATTAAAGTCTAGAATAATTAGTGAAGAACAAAAGACAAAGAGTCAGAAAAGATAGTTTTAAAGATGGAGTCCTGATAGGTCCAGTCCACATAGGAGCTGGAGCTACACAATTAGAAAATGGATCCCTGTGGTTTATTTAAGGGGGTACATCAAAGGCAAGGATAAGGTTTCAGGGGTGGAGTTTTGCTTCCTGATGTCTTGCAGTCAGCAGGTTGATTGGCATCTTGGCCGGTTACACCCATCTCAGAGAAGCTGTGCGGCTACAGCAGGTCACCCCATCTCTGGTGCTATGTGGGACCAGGCGGAGCAGAATAAAAATTTACATGTTTGTGCAATCTTACCCTGTGGGACTGCCAGGGGAAGTTCCCAAACACCTATTCATTAGGCTGTGATGTATGATACAGTCCATACACAGCCCGCTGATGGCTCTCAATTAAAAAAAAGAAAAAAAAAAAACGGACTAAAACATCCACCAAGCCCATTCCTCATATTGAGAAACTGTTCAGCAACTTGCTTTAGAACAGGATAACTGGCACCAAATCCAGTTAAAGCCCTTCTTACTCTTGTAAAAATGATTCTGAACATAGTAATGTAACTCATCTGATGTCACAATATAAGAAATTGACCAAGGCTTTCTTGTAAACAGCAGCATGCACATTTTCAATGACACAAAGTTGTGGATTCTGAAAAGCCACAGCTTTGTCAATCCTTAGTGGAGACTGAAGGGCAGCTACTTCTAAAGGAAGAAATGCTGGTGCTGTCGTGATAGGGAATAGGTACTCCATTAGAATATGGATGTTATCCCTCAGGTATTCCACAGTATATGCCCTATCCTCCCCTGTTATAATCCTACTTTACCACCAACTGCTTCAATTCCATAGGTGATCTTAAAAGATGAATCTCTCTTAGTAGTCAAGCTGGATGCAAGAGGCAGTAAATGAAAGGTCCTTAAATTGTTGAGTCCTCATATCTATTGCCTGCTTTAATGAACAAATCAGGATGTTTGATGCATGAACATAGTTTCAGAGATGCAATCACCAAACCCTTTGGTAATTTGGTAAACTCAAGGACCTAAAGACATGGAGAAACTCTTGTAGGGACAGCAATTAGAAAATGGCTCCCGGTGGTTTATTTAAGGGGGTACATCAAAGGCAGGGATAAGGTTTCAGGGGTGGAGTTTTTAACTTTAGGAGTAAATTTGAGGGAATAAAATCTTGACAAGGACCCGGCTCTGGTTAATAGCTTCATGGCTCAAGAATGCTCTGATCGTGTCACAGCCAGCTTAATGGAAATGAAGATGGCGGCAGAACTCCTCCAATTTCTTAGGCATTTCTTTTTCAAAGGGAAATACTCTAAGTAAAATGTTTTCCTGTTCCCACAATTTTGTGTCTACGTATGTTTGCTTGACCCAATTCCACTTGATAAATTCATTTTGGGATGTTTGGAAGTGCCATACAAATCCTATCACTGAGGAGAGCAAAAAATATCCTGAGGATGGCACACCAGAAAGATCAAAATAGCTGGATGAGCAGCTTATGGAATCTAAAATACTGTGAGCTGCTATATTCACCAATTTTGGACACAGCCAACCTGAAGACTTCTGTAAAAAATCTCTGTTATTAACAAAAAATAATTCTTACCCCAGAAAGACCACTTTTACTATTAAGTAAATGCTTCTTTACCTCAAGTCATTGATTTGCTTTGGATTCTAGAATCACCAAGCTCCATGACTTGGGGTCAGGAAAGACAGAAGGAAGAATGCTGTGTAGAGGAGCTCAGTGTCTTTGCTAGGCAGGGTCCGATCCCTGCAAGAGCTTCCTTTCCCTCTTTTCCCATCTCCATGCTGTCCTTAATTATTAATCATGCCTTGCACACCAACTCTCTCTCCTGGTGATCTACCTGCTTCACAAGCCATATGCCAAATAAAAATAGTTTTCTATTCCATCTAGAAAAGCCTGGGCTGAATTAGCAGAGGATGTCACAGAAAGTTTCTTATATTTTTTTTTTTAGCTTGAGCCACCTACTCAAAGCTCAGGAGAAAACTAGGAAAGAGTTATCTGGGACAAAGATCATTACATTTAGTTACTAGAATGTCTAGATGCTGGTAGTTGGACCCAGACCAATGGCTGACCAGCTGTTTGCCTCTGAGGCTATGAGGAAAATGAGAAAGAAAGGTAATTAAACAAAGCAAAGTCCAATGGAAATAGAAGAGAGAAAATAAGTGTATCAGCTTAACAGTGATTTTTCTCACTTTCAATACTCCTTTTTAGAATATTCAAATTTATTAATTATTTTAAAAAATTGACACATAAAATTGTATGTATTCATCATGTACAATATGTTTGGAGGCATGTATACTGTGGAATGGTTAAAACTAGCTAATTAAAATATGTATTACCTCAAAAAATTATCAAAGCTTTTGCATTTTAAAAGAATACTTTACTGGAATGGGTTAAGGTCATCACTTTTAGCAACCTGGTAGCATTACTCAGTAGTTAATCAACAGAACATTAAACCTCTGCCCAGATGGCTTTAGAAAGGGAACCTGGACAACCCCAAACTTAGGCACTCTTGTGGCTTCCATCTCCAGTTCTTTTAATCCTGGCCAAGACAGCGGCCTTGGATACTTTCTTCCGGTCATAAGCCAGGCCGAGGACAGCCATGCAGTCGATGAAGAACGTGGTAAAGTTGATGTGCCAGCGGTACTCACTGGCAGAGTAGTCATAGGGGAAGGAGTGGTGGTAGTTGTGGAAACCCTCACCTGGAACAAACCAAGGAGAGAAGTTAGGGAGCTCAGTAAATTGCTGTGTTCCTCATCTTTGCAACCTCTTACCCAGCAGGGCACCACAAACCTCTGAGAAAGCTCCTGTTGTTGAATGAATAGATGAACCCTGTGTCTTCTACTTAAGGCAAATAGATGCCCTCAGAGGCATCTAAATAATAAATCAAGAAGCCCTGGTCACCCATGGCTGCCTGGGACCCTTTGTGAGAGAAAGTTTTTCTTGGGGGTAAGAGGATGAGACAGACCTGGTTCTGTTGAGAAATGATCTTAAATTGTAAAATGCCAGAGCTTCAGTAAATACTGGCCTGAGACCACACAGGCTCTTTGCATTTTTGCATGTGTTGGGGGAGGGTCCAAAGGAAGAACTGTGGCTGTGCTTCTTACAAAGGTGAGTATATATAGTTAAGTGCTGTGGTATTTGCCTGTAATCTCAGCAATTTGGGAGGCTGAGGCAGGAGGATCATAGGTTCAAGGCCAACCTCAACAATGTATTGAGACCCTATCTCAATAAAAAATCAAAAGGGGTGGGGATATAGCTCAGTAGTAGAGTACCTTTGGGTTCAATTCCCAGTATAAAAAAATAAAGAAAAGAAAATGAAAAAAAGTTGAGTAAGCAACACACTTTTCTCCACCATACCTGTGCTCCCCATTAAAGTGGGAGGTTGTGATAAAATGGCCAGCAACAGCCGAAAGTCAGAAGAAAGGAAGCTCAGCCAGGGGCCAGAGCTCCCCTAGCCTTGGCTAGTACACAATGGACTGATCTGGCTTCTAATTCTCTGAGTTTTGATCCTGGAGCAGGGGAGGTACTGATGAAATAGGAAGTACTCTGAAAACACTTCTGAGATCCCCCTAACCTCTGAGATTCTGAGAACTCTTGGGATAAGCATTATTTCACTGTGCTGGAATGGAAAATAAAGAAATTTGGGATCCAGAACATTTCTGTAATTGGTAAAATGTTTGGCAATTCTTGGCAGGATTCTTCTTTCTCAACAGCTTTCAACACTAGCAACACTGGCCCTTATTGTGCCTAGGTAAAGAACAGGCATGATAAGAGAGGTTGTTGTACATTTTGTAGATAAAAACATCCCAAGATAGAACAGCAATGATAAGAATAGCAAGCAATCATAGGAGGTTCTGCCAAGCAAATGACTGGGCATCTCAAGGTGCCTATTCCTGTGTATACCAGACTGTCCACAGTATGCACTGGTAGGTGGAGGGATAACACTAAGGCTAAGGGTGACCCAGGATTGCCACTTCCACCTGTGGGCTTCACAGCAAGGCTCTGAGTGAGCACTCACCATGCCTGTAGGTATCAGATTTAAAATGAATCACACACACACAGAGACAAGGAATGGAAAAAGGGGAGAGTCAATGGGAGCAACTGGGGCAAAGAGACAGCTGAAGAAAAGTTCTAAAGGATAAGCATGTGACTGTTGAGATAAGTCAAGACCAACAAGATGAGAATGGCAGGAAAGAGTGGAGGAGAGCAAAGGGCAAAGGGACAGGGTTTGCAGAAGCAAATGACAAATGGGAGAAAGTAAGATATTGGCAACTAGTTTGAACTGAGGGTCACAAAGAGCCTGCAGATGTGGAAGCTCACTGGAGTTCCATTTACAACACAGGACACATGTCAGTCTAGACTATTCCATTTCTATGAAAATCTCAGATTTGGACGTGTATAGGTGATTTATTTCATTGTACATATTCTTACTTTGAAGAATCAAAGTAAGTTTATGTATAATGCTAGAAGTTTCCTGAAAGGAGTCGGGAGATGTATGGAAGTAAAAAAAGAGATAGGGTGGGGTGGGGGGGAGAACCCTTACAATGAAGGCAGTAAATATGACCTGGATTGAGAATATAGAGGAAGATATTAATGAGAAAAAAATAGTGTTATACAGTCATGAGCATAGACTTGTGAGTGGGAGGGCTGCCAAGGTGCTACTGGATGAAGAACAGCTTTGATCCTGGTGAGAAGAAGCCAAGGAAAAACAACCTGAGCCTCAGTCAAACACTATGTTCACTTAGAAAGGGCAGTAAACAGTGAAGATAGATGGTAGAACTCTTTTTTTCCTACCTGGCAACTGGGAATGGAACTATAGAGACAAATAAACTCAAGAATATTCAATATCAGGTCATGAAGCAGGAACTTCTTATGAAATTATCTGCCTAGAAAAGGAAAACTCAGAGTGGCTCAATACAGGTAGTATTTAGAGATTATTTTTCAACTTAAAAATCAAAAAGTTATTATTTTTCACCTTTCCCATTTACACAAGTGTTGTTTCCTGAGAGTTAGAAGGTTTTGAGCCTGACCATAAGATCAGACAGTAGATGTGACTTACCCCCAGCTCCCAGAGAAACCAGTATATTCTCCCGAGAATCAATGTTCTTGTCATAAGGGCGGTATCCATAGAGGTGGGCAGCACTGTTCACCAGCCAGGTGACGTTGAGTACTATAGCATATCGCAGGAAAGTGGCAACACACAAGCTGTGTAGAAAAGTTTCACCCCAAAAGAACCAGGGCACCAGTGTGGGCAGGATGAAGCACATCAACAGGACAGCGGGCTTGTAGTATCTACATTGAAAGATCCCACAGTGAGTCTGCAGAAAGAGAACTCTCACACCTACCTGGACTGTCCACTCTCACTGGACTGAGCTACGTCTTTTCTCCCATACTATAGGCACAGGGTGAAAGAAACCAGCACAAGTGAATAGGGTGGAAAAAGGTTTTGAGCACATGGTAGGAGTTCTACTGCCTAGAGTATTGTCCATCTGCCTTAGGGCTAGCCTCTTGTCTTTCTGACTCAATGGTTACTTTCACTCGTCTTGGGAGCACCCTTTGAAACACACCCTTGCTGTGCCACATTGGTGCAGATGATTAGAGGTTCTCTGTTGCCACCAAATAAAATCCTAAGTCTACATCTGTGTCCATGACTATACTGTGAACATTTCTTGCATTTATTGATATCATTAACATAGCTCAGTGAGAGTCTGAAGGTGTAACTCAGCAATAGAGTGCTCACCTAGTCCATGAAACACATTAAGTCCCAAATATTCACATTAAGTGAATATTTCAATGAAATTGACCAATTAAAATAGATTGGAAATCATAGTCTATAACTTTTACATGTGTACATATATCATTCTATTAATAAGTATTAATTAATATAATCTTTTTAAAATATTTAGTTGTTGATGGACTTTTATTTTATTCATTTATTTATATGCTGTGCTGAGAATTGAACCTAGTGCCTCACGCCGTGAGGTAAGCACTCTACCACTGAGCCACAACTCCAGCCCCTAATTAATTTAATCTTATTCTTATAAAATCACATTGTATATTGTATGATAATATTATATAACATATTTAAGTTTTTATATGTGTTCCACATCTGGGGTGGTGGAATAAAATGGGCTAAGAATGCAGTCCTCTCCCTGCAAATTATCAGAAAGTAACAGCAATAAACTATGGCTATGGGCTTATAGAATGTTAAATACGAGGACTTAAATGATTTTGAATTCACAGACCCAACAATCCTCTTGTCTTATAAGTGAAAACTGGAGGCCCCAAACATAAATGCCCGGGGCCGCATCCCCAGCCCCATCCTCCCTTCACTCACCTCCTCTGGAACATCACCAGCTTCTCAGCTTTTAGGTCAGACAGGTCCAGTGTCCCCCCCTTCTCTTTGACAGCTGGGTGTTTGCGCACGAGTAGCCAACCCACGTGAGAGAAGAAGAAGCCGCGGCGGGAGTTATGAGGGTCGGCATGTGTTTCTGAGAATTTGTGGTGGGTACGGTGATCTCGGGCCCATTCATAAACATCATTCTGGAGGGACAGAGAAGAGGAACGCAGGCCTGAGGAGAGATGCCCTCCTGGGAGAAGTCCAATGCCCAGATGTTTGCAAGGGCCCACGGCTCTTAGCCCAAGCATACAGTCCCCAGGAGTCTGGCCCAATGAGGAGGATCTATCTATCAGTCTGGCCCAATGAGGCCTTGGATCCTAGGTTGTTGGTATGTGGATAAAGCTATGGGGAACTCTATCTTGATGCCTTCACAAGTGACAGGTCATGACAGTGACTGAGGCCACATTCAAAAAGACCTCTGGTACTATCTGGGACTCTTTCCATCCCTTCAAAAATGTGCCTACATGTCTCTTCCTCCCTTTGCCCCATATGGACAACATCGAGAGCATCAAACTGTAGGGTACTAGGGCAGAGATGGTTATGCAATTGTGGTAAGCACCTCACATGTTGCCAAAGAGAGGGGACTAATGTGTTTTTGTTTTCCTCTTGATACAAGTTAAACCCCACACAAGGCATCCTGTGCCCATTGCTATAATGTCACAGCTAGGAGAGTCCCCTTCCTCAATTCCCTTCATTCTTTTATAAACGTGTGCCTCAATCATTCTCAGTAGTTGACCTAGCCAAATAGCAACCCCAGATCAGATGACAACGTTGGTCAATCCAACCGCAGTAACTCAAGTTTCCTCATCTGTAAAGGGGAGAGAATAACAGGACCTACCTTGTGATACTTGTAATAACTCAAGGAGTTCCTAAGTCTCTTAACCATCAATCTCAAAGGAATTATAGTAGGGTTCAAAGATAATCTCCTTAAAGCATGAGTTTATTATTCACCGTCTGCCCAAGAAACCAGGCTCAGTGCATGCCCCTTTATGATAAAGGACTACAACACCCACAATGCATGAGGACACAGAAACCTTGATAATAATCCTATACCTTCAGAGCCTTTGCTATTTAACCCCTATTTTCCTTCCTAATGACTCCGAGTATTCCATGTCAGATGCAGCCAGGCAAGGAGCCTATACTTGAGATGACCACAAGAGACAAGAAAGAGCAATGACTATCCTGCTAGGGATCTGCTCTCGGCACTGATCTCCTCCATGACACCCTGGGTCATTGTTAGGGTGGTGACAAAAGAGCTGAGCAGCATCAGCTTCTCACCTGGAACGCCATGGTGTCGGCAAAGATCAGGAAGAGCCGCAGAGGCAGCCGTGCTTTGTAAGTTCGGTGGCTCCACAGGCGATGAGCTCCTGCAGTGATGCCCAGGACACTGATTAAATAGTACACATAGGCTGCCAGGACAAGATGATAGGGAAGTCACCAACAGGAAAGTTCCATGGGAAAGCATATCAAAGTACCTCTCTTATGCCACAAGTCATGTGTTCTTTAGGCTTTGAGTATCAGCTTCAGCTGAACCACAGGGCTGCCTTGTCACCTTTAGCTCCTGAAAAGTGACTATCACCTCCCTGTCTCTCCTCCTAGGAGAGTGGAGAGGACTCCCAGGGACTAAGGAGGCAGGATGGCAAGAGAGGAATAAAACTCTCATGACTATGCCACTATCATTGTCCGTATGAGCGTTTGACCTTCAGCTGACCTTCTCTAAGGTATTCAGTGCCTCAAAATATTCCCATAGAGTTTAGGAACCATGAGCAAGTGATTTTCAAAATGAGCAGCCAGAGCAGATCTGGGCACTGATCAATTGGAGCTCTATGGTGTAGGGGACATTCAGGGCATGCATCACTATGGCTATTTAACAATCAGTGCAAAAGTATTCCAATATTGTATCAGGCAGAGTGTCCTGATAGGAAAGTCAGCCCTGCACACAGTCATATTTTTAATTAGACTCAGTCTTTACCAGGGATGTTAATATTTTCATATTCACCATGAAAGGGGCTGGTACTCTTAATATTGCATGTTGTAGGTGGGGAAATAGGTGCTCTAGAGATTCCTGCTTAACAAGGATCACACATTCCTTCATAGCAAGGAAAATGGGAGTCTTGGTTTGAATCTAGGTTTTATGTCACAAGAAGTTCTTGTTCTACGTCTATTATCCACCCTGCAAGATCCGTGCCCAGGTCCCCAGTCTCTCCTTTGCCAAGCCCCCGAACCCAGTCAATACTAATTCTAGACAACACTGAGAGATAATCAAAGCTGGCATAGGAACACTGCAATATTGTCCTGCCTCAGCCTCCTCTAGGCCTGCAGGATCAGGAGGCACTAGATATGATGTCTACTGGGGAAGGGGGCAATGGTGTACCTATCTCGTTAAGCAGCTCTAGCAGGCAGGGGCTCAGGCCTTGGGAGAAACTAACAATTTTTCATTCCCAGGAGCCAGCTGGAAACAATGGATCCTAAGGGGCCAAGAACATAGCTGTGGTGGAACACAGGACACATTGTAACAAATTGTCCCATGTTCTTCTGGAGCTAGAGATAACAGTTTGCTTAAACAGCCCCCTCTTCTCCTTCCCCTCCCCACCAAATCTGTCTCCTTCCAGATCCCCCAAAACAGCCACATAGTCTCTGGGCTTGAAGCCCCAGGTGATTCTTTGCCTCTGGCCACATGGTGATTGAAATCTGATGCTTTTTACCCATATCTGGAAAAACCACAGTGGACCAAGAGCCCTGCATCACCAGGAGGAAAGAAAGGGTTTTAGGCCAAACAGAAGCATTCAGTTGAGAGGCAAGGAAGTATATAGGATTGTTTCACCATGCAGAGTGCAGATGGCCCTGGGATATTGGCATTGAACTAGGACAAGACCCCAGGCACTGTGGTGCCCATTCTATCCACACTTGTTGGTCTATCAAATAGAAGGCTTGATATGTTACATTCATTCTCTCTCCCCCAGGGAAGGACTGTTGGTGTCCCTGTTGATGGTCAAGCAACATCTCACAGGTTTGTCCAGAAAAGTAGCTTTGCCCTTGGGCCCTCACTATTGTTAGAGACATCTTTTCAGCTCTGCCCTGGGGGCTCTTTCACAGTCTACTGACAGATCTCTCAAAATAGCTGATTCAGGAGAAATGCTGGGATAACACACATTGTCCTAAGGAACAGAACCTTCCCATCCTAAAAATATTGTCACCATTTGGTACTTGGAAAAACTGCAATCCAGAGAAAGGGGATATTCTCAGTTGCATTTCCATGTGGCACCTTGAAAATTCTCTAAGAAAAGCTCAAGGGGCCAAATGTTACTACCTATCAGACCTAAGAGATTCAGAGGGAAACAGTCTAATACCTACCCAAACAGCCCTTCCACCACTGCCCTCCAAGAGAGCTGCCAGACGGTTCCCCCACTCCTAAATTTATTCCAGAAAATTTCTAGTTGGCTTATGGAGAAGACATCCTGACTCCCCAACTGCTCAGAGAGCAGCAATTGGACACCTAGGTCTCTAGAGCTCCCTACTCCTCCTTCCCAACTCAGGCTTCAGGGGCAGAGATGAATTTGCCTGCAAAGCACACGTGCAGGTCAGGAAGGAACTGGGTGACCTTATCCCTCATTACAGCAGCCTGGGAATGAGAAGAGGCCAAGGAGGTGCTGATGTTAAGTGTTGGGTCCTTGGCACTTCACAGCCTTAGGAGAGGAAGGCAGGATCTGGGAAAGTGGGGAATGGAACATGAAGCATTTCTGCAATGTTATTTCTTTCTAAGCACATATGTTGCATTTGTGGTAACCAGAAAAACTATCTGGAATAAAGAGCAACACATCTGTGCAACTTGGGTCATGTTATGTTTCCTCTCTGACAAACCAGCCAAATCTGGTCAAGGGGTCAAGATGAAAATCATTTTGTGGACAAGACTTACATTTATCCTTTTTCCATGATCTGGCCTCCTAAGCAGTTTCCCTTGCTTTGACGCCTGACTTTGTTTAACACGTTGCTCATGAAGCCCCTGGCCTAGCATCAGGTTCCTATGCTGTCCTTGATTCATGGTAGGGACAGGAAGCCATGTAAATGACTTAACTTTCTTTCAGGGACAGCCACCTCTGTGCTACAGGCCTACACCTAAAATCCTACAGTGTAAGGTCACAGGGCTCACTCCCAGCACCCCTGTTAAGGATGGACACTCCTGCATCCCAATCCTATAAGGCTCTGTTCTCATCCCAGTTAGTCCTTCAAGCAACCAAACACTCATAGCTGGCTAATCCTGGACAGAATTGGGGCCTCTGCTCTGTGTTAACACTACCATATTAAAGTGCAATGGAAATTTGGGTGCTGATTCAGGACAAGAGAAACTGCTTACCACAGAGCAAAGTGTAGAACTTGCAGGTGGGAACCAATGTAATCCCATACAGGGCTCCCAAGTGCAGCAAACTCATGAGGATGATGTTTCTCCAGACATACTCAAGCTTGGGCCTGGGGCCCTCTGCATCCTGATAGCTGGGGTCGTATATGTCATCCTTCATTTCAGGGCGTATATCTTCCCCCAAATAGAGAGGGGTCTTCTCCAACTTCTCTCCCCCATTCTTCAGGGTCCCCTTGGGAGGCGCTGTGATGGTGGTGGTGGTGGTGGTGGTGTAGGAGCTGGATATCTAAAAGGCCAGGAAGTGGAGAGTCAGGAGACAGCAGGGACTAAAAGCCCAGGAGGGCTCTAATGCAGTTGGGGAAGTGTGCAGGAGAGGCTCAGACTCTTCCCCAGTGCCCAGGTTACATGAAGGTGGCCTGTAACCTGAGATGGAATAGGGAGAAGCTTCCAGAAAATGTGCAGATAGATTGCAAATGAAACCTCAAGGTAAAGGGACAGAAGGAGGGAGGGGAAAACATACCAACACACAAAGGAAACCGTGTATAAGGGCATCCGCAGGACCGCAGTTTTCTTTAAAGCTCAAGAAGCAAAAGTTGATAAATGAACCCTCTAGATTAAAACCCACACCCCAACCGTGGGCAGCAAAACTCGGGAAAGAAGGCCCGTTCCTCAGAGAAGCTCTTAACTGTCTCCCCCACTAATCAGTCGTCTACAAGCCCCATTCGCGCCCGCCAAGCCGCGGGACGGAGGCCACTTCTGGGACGCTCACCTCCTGCAGCATGTGGGCGGGCATCTGGCTCTCGGGTGCTTGGATCACGCTCCCGGGGCTGAGGCTGCGGAGCGAATTTGGCACAGCTGAGACTGAGGGTGGACTTCGGTTCAGGGGCCCGCTTGAGCGGGGCGTCGGTGGAGCTGCGCTCGGAACACCTCTCTGCTGTGGCACGCTGGATGGCTGTGCAGGCCCGACCCGCTGTGCGCGGATCTCTCTGGGCTCGGAATTTAAGGAGTAGATCTGGCAGTGGGTGGACGGTGCCGGGTATTTTATCCGCTGCCAACAAGGGGCAAAGTGCGCAGAGCTGCTTGGCTGAGACAGCCTGGCGTGGAGGTGAGGGAGGGAGAGGGGAGGGGACAAAGAGCCGAGATGAGCAACAACCCGAGCCAAGGATCTAGGATGCTGCAGGCGGCAACACCACGCCGCCTCTGCCCCTGCCTCTGCCTCTGCGAAATGCTAATGAGGCTCTTGTAAACTCTGGCCTGTCATTGGCCAAAGGGAATTTGGTGCCACCTCGTCCTGCGGTTACCATTGGCTGGGCGCAATCTGCTGTTGCCTCTGCCGCCAGCTCCTCGCCCCCCTCCCCTCTTTCTCTCCTTCTCCGTTTCTCTTCCACCCTCTCCTGGGCCTCTGCCCCGGCACCCCGCGGCTTTGGGCGCGTCAGGGAGGTTTTTCTCTGGACGAGGGAGAGGATTTGGTTCGGCACTGGGGATGCATTACAAGCCCAGTATTGGTCACAGCGAATGGTTGGGCACTGCTGAAATTGCACGGGGAACTGTGGGGAAGACACGGTGGCGCCCAACACACAGTTCCATCCTGTCTTCCCTTTCCTTCAGACGCGTGGGAGGGGAGACTTGTCTTCCACCTGGGAGACTGAAGCGGAGAGGTCTGGTGCAGTCCTAACCCGTGGAGGGCGGACTAGGCCTCTGCCCTCTGCCGGGCTCCAACTCCTATATGCTAACCTGAGACAGCCCAGAACTTTGGCTCTAGAGCAGACAAAGGTGTGCCTGCATACCACGACCTGGCTCAGTCACAGGGCACACTGCTGGGAACCGCCACCGCCAGGCATCAGCGGGTAAACTGGTTCCAATGCCCATGCCTCCAAAATGTGTACGGGAAGGTTTAGAGATCCTTCTGCTTGTCAGGTTAGAATTTTGGAGTCTCCTGCATGGGGAAAGGAAGGAAACACAGACAGGTGTTTTCGCCCAGCGATATGGAATAAGAATAGGGAGGAGGTATTAAATGAATCCTGCAAGCCAACTTACAAAGAGTCACTTTATTGAAAACTCTCTGTGAACCTGTGATGGGGTACTGCATAAATAAAAGTAGTTCCATTTTTTTAAATGGAATCATGGGGAAGAAAAGGAGATATGGAAAGACCAGATAACTTGCCCACAGTGGTAGCAGCCAGAAAGTGGTGGAACTAGGAGGTGAACACAGAAATATGATTCTGGAGCTCAAGCTCAGGACCCTACTTCCCTGGTACCCTGAGTGCTCTGACCTCAGAGACCTGTCCCTCAGGGATCCATCTTCCCTGGACCTGTGGGAGTCCTACCCAGAGAGCTTGGAGCCAGGCAGGCTGTGCGTTCACCCAGGTTGCTTCCATACCCAGGTCACATCCTGCTCTGGGAAGAGAGGCAGATGAGGAGATAAGGAAAAAAGGCATTTGGGATAGTCTGGGAACAGGACAGAGCTGTGCCCTCTGGTCTCAGGGGCAGGCCAACTCCCTGACTAGTGATCAAGCACCTCCATTTCTAGTCATGGCTCACTGGCTAGTGGGAAGATGCCAAATGAGCCTAGGTGATCTCAGAGGTGGAAGCTCATGAGGTGATGGCTCAGAAGGCAGGGTGTGAAAGCCAAGTCCACCTGTGCTGCTTCTCTTCAGGTTCTCTCACCAATGTGTGCTCTGCTAAATTCCTTTGCCAACTGCAGGTGTACTCTTCTTGGAGAAAAATTCAAGATTTCTTTTGGGGTGTGCTCTTAGATGTGCCTGAAGATGGCTCTCTCTTTTGAGATCAACTTTTCTTCTCTTTAAAGAATGCATTTGAGTCTCATTTCCTCTACACCCTGGACTTCATCAGGGAACAATATGAAATATGAGGGTTCCCTGGAACCTGCCCTCCTACTATGCATAGTCTGTGGTACATAGTGCCGCTAGCATTACTATAGGGCTGTTGATGTTACTTAGGCCAGTGCCATGTAATTTTTGTGCCAGAGAATAAAGAGGAGGCCTGCCAAAACAATAAGGTAGAGGTAGAACAGAAGCCCTGTATTTCTTTTCAAACAGGCTATTGCCCTGTGGACAAAGTTCTAGGAGTCCTCGAAAGTTCTGACTTAAGGAGAAGGAGATTCAGGAATAAGAGGTCAGAGCAATTTAATGTGGATAAGCAAGATAGAATGGTGTGTATCACATATCGGTGATGGTGTCACTCACTATCTTCAAACCTCAGAAGGTCACCCCTGCCCACAAAATAAGACTGCACAATAAGGACAAAATTTTGAAAAAGCATGAATTGTGGTACTGGAAAATATTATTTCAGTGACGAGTAGAACTTATAAACAACAATGTAATTCATATTTATTTACAATAGGGTTTTCTCCTCAACTGATATTTTAGCATAGAAAAGTACAAAGAATGCTTGGGAGATAGAGATTGGTACTATAAACATTCCTATGTGAAAGGGCACAAGGAATCACATCACTTTGAAATTTTAATTTGGACTCTTCAACTTAAAAGAACAAGACAAAAAAAAATGCCACATGTAGTAATCTTAAGTAAATAAATTGTTAATAACAAGAATTTATAGAAATCAATCTCCCTATTCATTCAGTCCTTCCCAACTGTTTTTGGATCTGATACTGGAACCTGGAACCTGCTCTAACACTATGTATAGCCTCTATTCAGAACAGAATTGGGAGTGCAAATCTATGGTTGAAAGCATTCCCTGCTTCACCTCCATTTCTCTGGGTGCCTTGTACTTGAGTCTGGAAGAACTGATGTCCCTTATGCTACCTAATACATGGCCAGTAACACCCTGAGTCAGAGCAATATTTCGATGAGTTTTGGGCCAGATTTTAGTTGTCCCTTATCTACACTCCTGGAAAATTGTTACTGCTGATGTGAACTTCACTAGAACATAATTTAGAATTGAATGATATGTCTATTTTAGCCTTCATTGCATTCTCCTTCATTAGCATGAAAAATTTAGAGTTACTTCTACTAAAGGGAAAAAGCTACCTTCAATTAATCACCTGAGAATTTTTTTTAAGGGAAGAAATATTGATGGCACACAACTACTTGACAAATGTTGCACTTTACTAATTGTTAAAAAAAATTATGATAATTTGTCACTAATAAAGACTTAACAATATTCAATATTGTGGAGAATGAGATGAGATAAGCATTCTTGGAAATGCTAGGAGCAGGATATATTGATTTGTCCACATATTCATCTCAACATTATTTCTAACATTAAAAAAATAAGGTAATAGGGGACTGGGGTTGTGGTTCAATGGTAGAATGCTTGCCTAGCATGTGTAAGGCACTGGGTTTGACTCAGCACCACATAAAAATAAAATAAAGATATTGTGTCCATCTACAGCTAAAAATATTTTTTTAAATAATGCAATAAAACAATCTTATAAATGATAGAATATGATATGGCTACAACAAACATTTTGGATATATATGCATATATATGTGTATATGTGGTACAAACACAAAAACGTCTAATGCACTGAGGGTGTAGCTCAGTGAAAGAGTGCTGGATTAACATGCAGGATGCCTTGAGATTGACCCCCAGCACTTTGAAAAAAAATATTAAGCATTTCTATGGTCATGGAATAATGACGTTCACATACAATTATTTAAAAACATAGTTGTGTGATCTCAACAATGTAAAAAATATTATAGAAAGAATAAAGGGGGAAAAAAGAAATGTTAAGCTGAGATCCTGGTTCTGAAATTTACTGAGATACCTGGTAACTATGGGCAATTTACTTTATTCTGTGAGCTTCAATGTCCTCATCTGTAAAATAAGTATACTAGTATTTGGGTTGGGAGAGTGTTGTAAATATTTAACAAGATATTAAATTCATTAGTATAGTCTTGGATACATAGTAAATTACAATTGTTGTTATTTCATTTACATCCAGGGTCTTTCATTTTGGTATGTAAAGTGCGCCATGATTGTACTTGGTATGTCCTCTTCAGCCTTAATTACCACTTCCGTCTTGGTATCACTTAGGCCTTCATCAAGCTGCACAAGAGAGGTTAAAACAGATGTGTATGCATACCTATATATACACATTCAACTTGTATATGAATATTCATAACAGCCCCAAATAGGAACAATGCAAATTTCCATCCACTGATTAACTGGTAAGTAAGAAGTGGTATGGTCACAAAATGGAAGATTATTTGGTAATAAAAAATGAAGTACTTGCACATACTGTGACATAAATTGATCTTAAAAATAGAATGCCAGCTGGGCGTGGTGGTGCACGCATATGCCTGTCATCCTAGCAACTCAGTAGGCTGAGGCAGGAGGATCAGAAGTTCAAAGCCAACCTCCACAACTTAGTGAGGACCTAAGCAACTTAGTGAAACCCTGTCTCAAATAAAAATAAAAAGGGCTGAGATATAGCTCAGTGGTTAACACCCCTGGGTTTAATCCCTGGTGCAAAAAACAAAAAACAACAACAAGAAAGAATGCTAAATTTAAAAAGCCAGTTGCAAAGGACCACATGTTGCATGATTTTCTTTATATGAAATGTCCTGAATTGGGCTGGGGTTGTGGCTCAGAGGTAGAGTGCTCGCCTAACATGTGTGAGGCACTGGGTTCCATTTTCAGCAACACATCAAAATAAAATAAAGATATTGCATCCACCTATAACTAAAAAGTAAATATTTAAAAAAAAAGAAATGTCCTGAATAGGTAAATTCATACACAGAAAGCAGATTGATGTTTGCCCAGGCCTTGGATGGAGGATGAAGGAAGACGGCTCAAGAGTGTAGGGTCATTTTAGGGGGTAATGAAAATGTTTTAAAATTGATTGTGGCAATTAACCTTGGGAATATGATAAAAGCCATTATATTGTGTGATATAAACTGGCAAATTATATGGTATAGAAATTATATCTCAAAAAATACTTCTAGCCACTTCACCTTTTCCATCAGCCCCTGAGGATCCTGAGGTTGTCAACTTGCTCAAGTAAACAAGCACACTGAGATGCTTGTTATGCAACCAGCCCCACTATCCAATCCATCCTCACTACACATGGCATTGTGCATTGGGACAGAAAGTCAGAACTGCAGAAATTGTCTAGATCTCTCAGGCTTTCCATGGCAAAGGGCGATGTGGGGAGGGAGGGATAAAAGCCAGCATGTGCTCCTGTCTCAGTGTTGGCCCCAGCCAGTTCTCTGGGCACAGAGAAAGGGGCAGAGCCCTCCTGGGATGTGGACTTCTCCCTGTCTAGTGATCCAAGCTGAACCCCCAGGCATCAGACAACCAGGGAGATGATGCAAATGGATTTGCCCTCGTCCCACCCAAGGACAGGACCCAGGGTGGCCTGCCCTTCTGCAGCCTATCTGGGCAACACTGTGCCTGGAGGAAATGGGATAAAACAGGCAATGAGGATCTACTGCTATGAACACATACTTCACTCATTCAGAGAATGTTTATGAACCATCCACAAGGCCCCAGACTCAGGGAAAGAACTGAGGTCCCAGGAGCTCCACTTGGGCAGTTCTCATAGTTAATGACATACTGATGGGACCTCACCACAGGGCATTGTAGACTCAAGAGGAAAGACACAGGCAAAACCAGGCTGGGAGAAGCAGGGAAGAGACGCTGGTAAGAAATCCCCAGGGGCCATTGACCTTAGGTGTGAAGATCAGATGACACTTCAGGAGCCCACAAGAGGGGAAGAGATTCTAACATGACACTTTACTGATGAGGACCCTCAAATATGGCTCCTCCCAGACCTCAGACTTGAGAGATGGTGCCTCAGGTCCTCAGGTGGGTGGCCCTGGGTGAGAAAAGGCCAGAGTACTCATCCAGCCCAGTTTATGGGATTACTAGACATGTGTCCATCTACACTGTGAAAGAGCTGTCCCTGACCTCCCTCTTAAGCTCTTTCCCCCTTTTTTTCTGTCCAATAGACAACCTGTGTGTGTATGTGTGTGTCTGTGTGTCTCCATGTGTACGTCCACACACAAAGGCATGTTTGAAGCCACAGGTTATTGGACAAGCAGAGAGAATTCTTCCAGGTTACCTGTCTCTGGGGGGCCTGAAGCTCTGCAAATCAGAGCATGAGTGGGACTGGGCAGCTAATGTCTCAGGGCAGTGTGGTGCTGGAGGATGATAACCAGGCAGGTGAGAGCTGGGAATAAAGGTCTTAAAACAAGGCCAGGGCTAGAGATTTCTGTGCTTTTCCTGAGTCCATTCAGCCTGAGTGCAAAGACAGCTCTAGAAACCTTTTTACTCTCCTGGTCTTCTCTTTGCTCTGCAGTAACCTCACTCACACTGATGTCATCCATGCTTTTCTCTGATAGCACTGAGCTGGTCACAGGAGGGCTGCAAGGTCCAGAGGGCAGCTGGCATTGTCCTAAGCCAAGCTTCCCCAGGGCATTTCCCAACCAGGAATGTGTATCTCTCCCATCTCATCCCTCTGTGCCAAGGTATCCACGGGGGGGGGGGGGTTGGGTGTTGACTGTGCCACCCTGTGCCCGCTGAAAAGTCAATGCTCCACTCTGTTTGGGGGATGAAGTCAAAGCTCTGCTGCCACCCTGGGGAGATCACAAATTTCTAAGAGAAATGAGGACAAAGCACAATAGCAAACCACACAGGCCAGCATCTCAAAGGGCACAGAGTGTAAACACGCCATATCAAATGGTAGGAGTTCAGGGAAGAGGAAGAGAAGAGCCCCTAGAATTGGGTAGGCAAGAGAATGGCCTTGAGGGTGATTGCTGTGGTGGTACTTTAAGCTTCTCTTCATGTGCACTGTGCTAGGTGCAATTACAATCTAGCAACGTTCACCCACAAGTTACTCCCACTTTGCAAGGCTCAGAAAAAGTTGCTGGGTGGGAAATTCTGTGGCAGGAATGTGCCAGATCCTAACATCTGCCAGGTATGTGCAAGGACTCTGAATATTTTACCTGGCAAGTAGCTCATTCTAATCACAGAACAACATGCCAAGCAGAGTCAGAAGCACACTTGCTGTGCCCTGCTTCTCCTGGGTCCACTAGCACCCTCCCATTGCCAGGGCCCCATTCCAGGCTGCAGACACCCTAGAAACTGGGAAAGGCAGAGTCAGCTAGAAGTGTCTTACTTCTACTCCACGGCCCCACTGCACCTTCCTCCTCTCCCCTCCATCCTAGAGGGAAAAGGGGAAGTCCCAAGCAAGCCCTTGGCATTGTCCTTGACATCAAAGGTATAAGTGACTATAATCCAAGTGGATTTCCAAGCTTCTCTCTGCAACCTCCCCACGAGGGGTTGACTGGATTTCTTTTCAAAACCCAAAGTTATTTCCTTCTACCTGCTCTGAATTTTCAATGTTATCTGGCCCAGACATGTTCTTGGAGAATCCTTGATTTTCCCCTGTCTTCCTTTAGTGTAGCAACCCAGAGAGCCACCAGCTTTCCTCTCCCTGTAGTTGAGAGTCAGCAAGACTGGGAGGAGCCAACTCTAGAATCCCATTCACAGTAGGCCCCTCAGTCCCATCTAAAATCTTGCAGCCTCAAGAGCCTTTAGAAGCCCAAAGGAGACTCATGACTGTCAGTCCCCAGGACATGCCAGGTACCCAACATTCTTGTCCTCTAATATTCTTTTCACTAAATTTCTGCTTTCCACAGACAAGAGCCCATGTCTTCTTGATGCTTCAGTGCTACCTGGGCCTCTGGGCTACTTGGTCAAATTTTGACTAACAATGACAACTGGGACTTGGTTGAGGCCATCCCCACATTGCTTACTCTGGTGTTCCAGGGGGGAGCCACCTGAGAAACAGGAATCCTGGGAAAAGGATGGGGCCTGATGCCAACCAATTTTTTTTTTTTTTTTTAGAATGGGAGGGTGCTTCTTTTCTACAGTAAAGGACCATTGGTATTTGGAGCCTAATGATTTTATTTTTTATTTATTTTTTTTAATATTTATTTTTTAGTTTTCAGTGGACACAACATCTTTATTGGTATGTGGTGCTGAGGATCGAACCCGGGCCGCACGCATGCCAGGAGAGCGCGCTACTGCTTGAGCCACATCCCCAGCCCCGATGCCAACCAATTTACTTCTTGCAAGGGCAGGCTGGTACCTGGGCCTGTGAATAGGGACTGAAGCCAACAGCCAGGTAATCCCATTACCCCTTCATGGTTTAGTACGATAAGCATCAAGGAGTCAAAGGCAGAGGCAAGGCAGGGTTAGGACTTGTTTCGGGAGAGAATGTAACCGGATTCTTTCAGGACAGCAGGAACAGAGTCCCATTCAGGGCTGGGAGGAGACTATGAACAGGTCACTGGGAAGGAGAAGGGTGTGAGAGGAATCGGTGAGGGGTGAATTATCTCTCCCAAAGGTTGGAGCAGAAATGGCTCTCAGTAAAGAATCTTGAGGACAGAGGCTGCTCCAAAGGAGGGCACGGAGGCCATGGGCCTCACAGACTGCTGGCTACAGGGGTCCAAACTGCTGTGGCTCCAAACTGCCCATGGCTTCTCCTTTCCCCGTCCAGTATCAGCTAGAATAATGAAGTTGGACAAGTCTGACCCTGGGAGACACAAGACTTCTCTGGTGGCCTATTTTGTTTCCCTAAAGTTCTTACTAACCCCTTTTTGGGGGCTATATTGCAGTCATTCACCCAATCTTTCCTCCCTGGTGCCCCCACCCTCCACCTCACCAGTCTAGCTCTCGAAGGGTCAGATGCACATCATAGCTGACAGCCCTTGGCCTAACTGGGCCCCATCCCTCTGTTCTCTCATGGTGTTTCCCTCACTGAAAGCCATGCCACTTGTCCATTCTCAGGTCTGCTTCTCAGAGGACTCAGCTTCACATGGATTTCTACCAGGCCTCTGAAATGATCAGTTCCTATGGGTAAGAGCCTGTTGGCAGGAGCAGACATGAGCCTAAAGTGTTACTCAGAGGAAACGGGTAAGTAACAGGAAAGACCTGGGAAGAGAAATGGTCTCAAGATAGGACCCTCGGTGTCCACAGCCCTGCAAACTGGTTTGTCTGCTTTTCCTTCAGAGAAGAGCAGTCGCTCCATTCAGAGGGAG